TCCTTGATCAGAAAATTTGGGACACTACTGAGTTACATGATTTTACAGTACAAGTTCTCATATGTCCTGAGTCTTAATTGACCTTGGAAGGCTAGGGCCAAAATGTTGGCTTTCCTTGTTGCCCTCCTTTTTCTCTAATTTTTAGTCTGCAAACTTAGGTTGTTAACCCTTCAGAAGAGAAGCTTATTATTATTACCATATAACCTAGGATGTTGAGCTTAACCTCACTGTCTGTCTGAATATCAAACATCTTAGGCATAACATGGAACAGGTATTTTTCATAAAGTATTGATATGTTAAACCTTAAGTCCCTACATAATATGACAAAGAAATTAAAATATATTTAAAAAATAGGAATAAAGAATTATATATGTTTACACATAAGTCCAGAAATCTAACCATACACTTTACATTCTTAAACACTCAGCAGCACACAATGTTTAATTACATGTATAAATGCCAGAGAAATGTACTAGGGGAAAATAGTTCATGATCATTAAAGAGCAGGTCTTCCATGTGTGGGGAACTTGACACAGGTGTTGAGTCTTAACTGACGCTTATGTTTTAGAAGGCTTCAGCTAACTAAGCTAGACCCTCATCTTACTTACAAACTAAGTTGCCTACAAACTTATTTTATTAAATCTAGTGAGTACACATCCTGACATATAATGGGCACTTAGGAATCATACCAGACTAAGCATACCTTCATGATAATTTTTATAGTCTCACAATGGCAGCAGGATCTAACACCTTAATCTGCTACTTAGACATTAAGGTTTTAGTTTACATCTGCACACACTAAGCCCTGCCACACTTTAGGGGTGGTTAAGTAGCTGCACATATTTAGAGGTTAGCACTGTTAGTTTTATAAGCTAATATGACAAAGTAAGGAGCATGGTCTAAAGAAAAATCACATAAAAACAATGGATATAACTCAGAAAGGGATATTTTGTATTACTAGATGAAAACATAATCATTACACACAGGCATAACTACTTCCTTGCTGATTATTTTATAATGCCCTGTAACTAATTTTTCACCCAACAGCATTTGTTGCCTAAGAAATAAGCCATTTTCTAGCACCTACAACAAAGGACTGCTTTGACAAGTGACCTGATGACTATTCTGCTATTGAAAAATGAGCAGTCACACTCTGGGGGCCAGATGTCACAAATGATGGGAAGACTTTTGCATAGAGGGGTTGCTATATTTGATTTGGAGGTCAGACTATCAGCCTCGACTGAGAGGTAACCACCTCTGGAAGCTCTTCAGCGACAGTACCTTTGAGAACATCAGACAGATCGGCTGTTAAGGAGGGACAACTCATACGCTTAGGCATGAGTCTCACACTACAGAAATGCAGAGATCACTACAGTACAGAACCACAACTACTACTCTACTCCCTCAAAGCCAAGCCCCAGTCCTCTCCTCCTCCATTCTTGCTGTTTTGTAAACACTGTGTGGGTTTTGTATTGAAAGACGAGGGACTCGACCCTGGGCATTCCCTGTCTGCTAGTGACCAAGTTGGAAAGCTAACATAAACTTGTGCCTATCATGTTCCTCTCTCTCTGCAAAGAAAACACTTGCACTCTTACTGCAGCAGTGGAAAGCTGGCTGACTGCGGTGCGCAGAGTTCTGCTTTCTCAGCTCTGCATCTGCGTTTTCCCCATGAACCAATTGCTTCCACTTCCTTGCCCACCAACCACCAGGTCAGGAACATTTGCCCGCAACTAGTTACAGGAGAGGAAGGAAGCCCTGCGGTGGGTGACATGGACACAGGAGGTAAGGAGGCAGGCAGGCTGGCTGCTGCCCTCATCCTCCTCAACAATGCACAGAAGGTGTCCTGAGAACAGAGTCCTTTCTTACCACCTGGCACCCCACTTGGACCCCCATCACATACTAAAACTTACCTTCTTCATGTTCTCTCTGTTTCTCAGTGCAGACACTTGTTCTTGAGAAAGCAATGTTGCCTGAAAGCTTTATTCCCCAACAGTTTTATGTAAAAATGGAATGTACTGAGGCAAACAGAAGACATACTGGCCCAAAGCCCTCCTATACTCTGATGTGATATAAAACTGACAAAACTGATTTTAATCACTTGTACCATCAAGTATCAAGCATTCCCCAAGAATATCCGTCAGATAAACAAGAGAGCATGCCATCAAGTACTTTAAAAAGTACAAAATGAACTTTGAGGTCATTTGAATAAAACATACAATAAAAGAAACTATTTTTTAAAAAATATCTATGGCATGCCAGCTGTGGTGGCAGCATGGGACTAATTCCAGCACTGAGGAGGCTAAGATGGATGAGTCATGAATTCAAGGCCAGCCTGCAGTACACAGCAAGACTGTACCTAAACAAACAAAAAATTATAGCAGGTAGACTGTATACAAAATCACTCATGTTACAAAGATTTTGAACTGAAAAGTCAGGGTATTTTTAGGATCACAAATAAGGGTGTTATATTAAATACGATGCCCTGCTCAAAAAAAAACAAAAAGTGTTGTCATAAAGAATATGAGACAGAGACAGGGGGAGGGGCGGGTGTAGAGAAAAGGGAAAGGAGGGAGGGAGGGATGGAGGGAGGATAAAACAGAGACAGAGAGGGAGAGAAAGAATGTTAAGGAGACATAAAGATAGTTTTTACCCTGTCAGATGTCAAGCCTCAAATTCCATGAAGAAACAAAGGAAGCGAACAGATCCTTAATCTTACCCATAGGTCTGTTTCTGTCCCTGAGGTCCCTGTGGCTCGGGTGTCGGTAGGAGTCCCTGTAGTGGTGGGCAATGGCCATATCATCCAAACGGTAATGCTGAGGTGGAGGTGGGGTGGGGTGAGGCAGGCCATTTGGCTGGTAGGACAAGCCATTATTTGGACTGTACCGCTGGCCAGGGCTAATAGTGCATGGTCGCTTGCTTGGATGCTCTGAGTGCAAAGGCTCTCTGTCAAAGCCATTTTCTTTGGTTCTGAGGGGGAAAGAAAGAGACTTTTATAAAGTACTCGGAAACCAGCATCGTTCCAAAGTCACTCATATTTGAGCTTGTAACATCAACAGAATACACCTTTTTGGGCTAGAAACTTTCAAAACTCAGCTTCCCAAGAAACCTACAGGAAGGCAGTGAGCCGACGCTGACACTGAGAGGGTCACCAGACTGCAAGAGGACAGGCCACACCAGGGTCAAATTAGTAAGCATCTTCGCAGTTGAAATTCATGTGGTCAAGTCCCAAACAAGAGGAAACCCAATAATCTCCTCCGCAGATAACTGTCTTGTGCAAAACACAGAGTGCTGGACTTCTAAAAAGTCCTCCTAAGACTGCTGAATTGGTGAAGATTCACCCGGTGGAATACCATCACCATCTAGCTGAGTGAGGACCCCGCACCCACCTGGGTGCATCCGACCTCCGTAGCAGCAAAGAACACCTGAGAGCAGCGCCATCGATACAGCAGCACGTGTGGCAACGCAAATTAAGATGTTGGTTAATTAAAATTAAATAAAGCTTCAAGTTCAGTTCTTCAGTAGCTGTATTCATATTTCAGGCGCTCAACAGGCACCTACTAGGGCTATTGGTGACGGAACTGGGCTGCAGAGACACACAATGCTCCTGTCATCGCCAAGAGATCTACTGAAAAGCAATGATCCAGTGGAGCTGGGTAGGGTGAGCAAAGTAGCCCCCCAAAGCCCAGCACCGTCTAGGGTCGCCAACAGAAGCCATCCGTTGGACAGAGGTACCTGGGACTACATGGAAAATTGAGGTTATCACTTAGTTTAAAGTTGAGAAAGCACATGCCCAGAGTATGTGGGTCCTGTCTGGGGTCGCTGGGTCATACTACAGCACAGGCTCTCCCAGGGTGCACGTCATCAGCTGATCCCAGACCTGCCCTCAGCTTCCACAAGGAATGTTTTCCACCAATGAGACCTGATAACTAATCACTGCACCCTGATTCTCAAACAAAAGAAGGACTAAAGAATTTGACTGATTGCTGAATATATCTCCATGGATTAGAAACTAACCGAAAATACTTGCTAAGACATAAACAGGTTGAGCAGAAAAGAATTTAAAGAGGAAAGCAGCTTAGTATAAAAGCCTGGGTTCCATCTCCCTCCCCGAAAAGTCAGAAACCAATCATATCCAGCTTTGACTGAATCACAGCTCCCAAACTGTTTTACACAGCAGCTGGGCCTCCTGAGGAAAGCAGCACTCTGCCTGTCACTAGGCCAGGAGCAAAATCCACTTTCTCAGAGAAACCTCCACATGAGAATCCTACCAGTGCTGCAGACCTCCTTGTGTCTTCTTAAGTTGGTAAAACAATAATGGAGAACAGCCAGTCATAAAGACAGGGAGACCCTTCTCCTACTTTGCAGGCAGCTAGGGACAATCTTTGATAGTACTGGAGGAACATCTGAATGCAAAGTGAACCAATCATGGAGACTGCAAGGGTGACAGGGTTTATGTTCCCTGGACAGTGCACTCCCAGTGACAATTTGCATGCCCTAGATCAGGAATGGCAAACATTTCAGAGCTTTCAACAATACCAACAGCCTGCTGCGGCACGCGTGGCTTAGGTTCACCACCACTGGTCCAGACGGAGAGAGATAAAGGAGTTGGAGACGGAAGAAAGAACAAGCGCCTAAAGGACAGAGTAAAAGTCTAGTGAGCTTAATGTGACGTGAGAACAGGACTGCGACGTGCTGCTTTGGAGACAGGAAAACGGCCAGGATGGGAAAGGACAGCACCGCCTGCTCCCTAGTGTGGTGGCAAGAAACTTCCATGCTGCTCCTGTCAGCTGTATGTCTGTACTAAACACACTGACTCCATAATATTGATCATTGGTAGCAGACTAAAATGCCCGGTACAACTCAGACATTACCCAAAAGCATTGCTTTAAAATAATTTAAAAGCAAAGGGAAACATTTTAGATATTGATTTATCTCCTAAGAGTTTATCTATGTGACACTAACCTGTATTTCCATATCTTGCACATTTCTGAATAATATACTTCAATGTTGAATGCATGTTACCAGAAAGCTAGAAAACACTGAAGATTCCTAGCAGCTGTGAGCATAATGCTAGTATAACACCTACCTTGCGGCAGTGTGAGGCAATGGAAAAAGCACTGGACTGGACATCAAGGCACGGGAGCTCTAGTCCTACCTCTTCCAGGATAAGCTGTGTGATCTTGTGTAAGTCACTTAGCCTCTCTGGACCTCACTTTGCTCATCCGCCAAATCAAAGGGCTGGACTACATCAGTGGTTTTCAAATGGTACCATCTGAGATACATAAGCGCCTCTGCAGGTAATGAACTTCCCCTGCAACCAATAAAGACTATCATCTGTTTTATTTATTTATGCAATTTAGTAAGGGTCTACAGGGTCTCACTACTAGATCAGACGCCTAGTGATCCGTCTGTGTTCAGGGTCCCAAGAGCTGGGATTACAGGAATGTACCACCCCGCCCAGTTTCAATCACAGTCTCAACATGCCCTGGTCGGGGGAGGCGGGGAGGGCCAGCATAGCAGGCGGGGATCGAACCTCCAACCCCTGTGTCTGCTTAAGCTGTTATTTGTTTTAAAAAACTGAGTTTCCATCTACAATTTCATTTTTAAAGGAAAAAATTTGCTGCTAAAATCAAGTTTGAAAACCACCGGACTAGGGCTGGTGAGATAGCTCAGTGGACTAAGTGCCTGTGTAGGCAACCTCAGGGGCTGGTGTTCGATCTCTAGTACCACATGCTGTGCCAGCCCTGCCTCTGGGGCACATGGAGCCAGCCACCAATACCGGATGTGGTGGTGCACGCCTGTAATCCCACACTGGGAAGGGTGAAAACAGGAGGATCACTATCCAAGTTGTGTAGTGAGACCCTGTACCAATACATTTCAAAGGAAGGAAGGAAGGAATTTTCTGAAGCTCCTTCTAGTTTAAAAACTTGACAATTTTACCCTATGCCACAATATTCTAGTATTTTATATGGCTAAATGTGATAGGCATGCAGACAGAAGCTCACAGGCTGACGATCCTCGGGCCAAACCACAAGCGGGTAAGCCAAACACTTTGGCCAAGTTCTCTGCTCTTGCTTTCAACAATTTATTACTACTGATAGCTTGGTTTTTGGTGTGTGGGGAAAATTAAAACCCTCTAAATATCTTCGAGCTGCCCCGTTAGCATTTCTATATAGTGCGTCAAACCAGCCCTGCCCGTGGTTTTCTCCATTTCAGTGTCGATGGAAACAACACAGGAAGAATCCTGCCAATTCTCAAATAGAAGTTACTTTCACCCTCACATAAGCCTTCTAATCAATGCTATTACTTTAGTGACCACTTATGCATTAAAATGAAGACTATTTTCTCCTAGACCAAGGGCAGTAACATCCTCAAAGGTGGAGCTAGGAGGCCCTTCCTGCCTGTGGGGTCCCTGATGTCCCATCCTGGGTCCCTTTCCTCTGAGGCTCATCACCTCAAAATGTTTGTTTGTTTTGGTGGGACCGGGGATTGAACTCAGGCCCTTGCACTTGCCAGGGAAGCGCTTATTCCACTGAGCCCTCTCCGCGGCCCCTATGGTTATCTTTTATCAGCAAAGCATTGCAACCTAAGAGCTCACAGAAATAAAGCTGTATGGGGTCACCCTGTCGGGTCCTCAAATCACTAGAGAATATGAGTATAAAGCCAAGTGGTCCCTAATAGTAACTAACGCAATTTACCTTCTATCTGTATATCCCTCTGTTAGCAAAGCCTACAACTAGACACTTTTTTTAAGTGTTAGGACTTGAACTCAGGGCCTTCACACAAAGTTACAACCTCCAGATCTTTTTCAAATTCTTTTTTATTTTGAAACATGGTCTCAGCAAGTCATTAGGCTGTCCAGGCTGGGACCAAATCTGTGATCCTCCTGCCTCAGCTTGCCAGGTGCATCCCCATGCGCTCCTAGCGAATGAAGTGTAACAGATCTGCTTAGGCAATGTCCAGTTTTCTATGTTACCCACTTTTCAAAGTCCTTTATGCAAAACTAAATACTTCCCATCGTCTCACACCAACATACCCCTGAAATAACTCCAGCTCTACAAGCAAATCCACTGCATCTTACCGCCCACGGGAGGCATTTATGGTTTCTCAAAACCCTAAGTAGATTCCATTTCCCTGCAGGAGGAGGTCACCCAAAGGTCACCTCGCCACCACAGAGCACAGCCCATGCACTCCTCTGCTGAGGCCTGACGTACTCAGGAAGACCCCTCAGGACTCACTTGCATGACCTCAGATGACTTTCTGGCCTCAGTTTTCTGCACAGGGAGATGGGCAGAGGCAGCCGAGGCCACTTTCCCACACCTCGTGCCGCGACCTCGTCCCTCACTCACACTTGTAAACTGACTCTTTGAAAAATAAAACAAGTATTTTTAAGGCATCAGGTGAAATATGTGGCAAGCTTGGTTAGTATACAACGATAATCCATGTTTATATCAGCACAGTTTGAAATACCTAAAATGTAGAAACAACCCAAATGCCCCTCAACCTAGAAACAGATAAAAAAAAAAAAAGATGTGTTTTTTAATATATAATGGAGTATTACTCAGCCTTAAAGAAGGATCAACTGGAGCCTTTTATAGGTAAATGGATGCAACTCGAGAACACACTCCCCATGAAGTAAATCAAACCCATAAGGGTGATTATAGAAACATCATACAGGCTCCCTAGTGTGAGAAACTGAACAAGTAAATAAGATTCGAAATGTACAACAGATACTGTGAAATGGGAAGAAACTGCTTCAAAGAAGAGAGAAACTGGGATGAGAGCAAGGGGAAACTAGAAGTAAGAAAGGGAAAAAGAAAAGCATATGCACAAAACAGTTAAGATAGTTATATAGCTAGTTTCTCTTAGTTCACTGAAAAGAAAGGGTTGTGCTAATATTGTTTGGACAAGATATCATGCCTAGATCCTGTACTCTGAATAACTACTGCAAAGATAATACGCAACAT